GGGGTGGGTGTCCACACCACCAGTTATAACGAGAACCCAGCACCCCGGGGTGGGTGTCCACACCACCAGTTATAACGAGAACCCAGCACCCCGGGTTGGGTGTCCACACCAACAGTTATAAGGAGAACCCAGCACCCCGGGTGGGTGTCCACACCAACAGTTATAATGAGAACCCAGCACCCCGGGGTGGGTGTCCACTCCACCAGTTATAACAAGCACCCCTTCACTCTCTACGAAGGTATGAGGTGAGGACCGTCCCTCTCATCTGAAGTAAACAATTTAGCCAGAAACAGCCGAAGCTCCCATGCACTGTGAACAGTCTCACTGTCACGAGGTGTCCATAATGGCCAGTGCATCCTGGGGACAATCACCAGGGGGATGTCCGAGCACTCACCAGGGCAGACTGTCAATGGTAGCTATGGGTAGATTTTATAATGTAGTTATTCTTCAAGCTAAGCAATAATTATTCCAACAGAAGTTCTCCAGAACACATCAGTAATTATTCTCCAGCACTAGGGAGGTAGAAGTGGGAGGATCTCTATGAATTTGAGACCAGCCTGGGCTACAGAGCGAGTCTCCGGCATTCTGAGATTATGGCAAGGCAATTCCTATCTGACATGACTGATGACATTAAATAAATTATATAAATTCTGCCTTATTACTGGTGGCTTTGGAAGTCCTGTCCCTTGCTCACACTCAGGCTGGAATGCAGCACTTCTGTCTGAGAGTTTGCACGGGACTGTACCACACTCAGATTAGGTACGCCTTGTGACGGCCTAAGGGCCTAGCAGAACGCCTAACCCAGGGAAGGCATCTGATGACTCCTGGCCATTGCTATTGACAGCAAGATGACACACAGCCACCAAATACAGGAGACCAGGAAGGCTGTGACCGAGTCCACGTCTCTCAGCGCCACAGACATTTCTAAGGAACAGAGCTATGCCACTGAAAGGAGGTGGGTCTGAAGAATGGCTGGCCTCTGTCCTTATCTCAGAAGCAGGCCAACAGGAAGGGAGAGAATGGCCCCAGGCAGGTTTCCACTTATAGTTATGGGGCAGGAGGCCACTTCTACTATGTAAGTGAAATTGGGCCCACGACACAGGTATTCCTCATCTTCTTGTAAGATCCTGTGGCCCCTTCAGGGGCATCCAAGACAGAGCTGGGGCTGTGAAGTCAGTTCTCTAAGCTGCTTGGGACTGGGTAGGTGGGGCTGAACTAAGGGGGATCCTAGCATCTTTCTTTCTTTCTTTTTCTTTTTTCAGAGCTGAGGACCGAACCCAGGGCCTTGCGCTTGCTAGGCAAGTGCTCTACCACTGAGCTAAATCCCCAACCCCCATCCTAGCATTTTTGCTTGGAGCCCTCAGGGACAGCTTGGGGGATGTGACATTGACTGAAGTTTCTCTCTCTCTTTCTCTCTCTCTCTCTCTCTCTCTCTCTCTCTCTCTCTCTCTCTCTCTCACACACACACACACACACACACACACACAAGATACACACCTGTGTGCACACACATGATACACACAGGGTATTTCCCTGGGACTTTGGTTTCTCACTTGGTGTAAAATGCAGGACTTAGAACTCCTTTTGATTCTGACCAGCCATCATTGACCCTCGTGGGGGTTCCAAACCCCTCTATTCCTTGCCATGCCTGCTGAGCCCAGTGTGACCTTCAAGTCAAGCAGGTGCTGGGTTCACACAGCTAGCTTCACAGCAGACACCTTGTTCCTCGAGGTCACTCACCTGTCCTGGCCATTCAACTGACGGTCTTCAAGGCCAGTTCTTCTAACTGTCTAAGACCAAGACAATAGTTGGCTGTTGTTGAGTGACGTGGTGGCCTAGGAACTAACTTACTACTAAGTGTCCTCCAGGACTTAGTCCCTGCACGCTGGCTGGTGAAGAGCTGATCATTTTTATAGACAGTGTTTCCTCCCAAACTGCAGTCTCCTGAGTGTGCACCGTGAGTCCCAGAGTGGAGGGCAGAGACAGAACAGTACGACGAGAACGCATTGCCACTGCTGGGGAAAAGTTTGCATCTGGACACAGCACAGTGGCCCCAAGACCACAGCAGAGCACCCTTTCTCTGTGGCTGTTACCTTTCTCCCTGAGTGAATGACTGAATCGTGAGCTATTTCCTGGGTTCTTTCTGGAATCTTCTCCTGCAGGTCACATGGTTCACAAAGGAAAACAGAGACCTGTTTTCCAGACTGGCGACAGGAGGCGAACACTCGAAAGCACAGGAATGAGTCATTTGTGAGCCCAGCTGACTGAGGACTCCGAAAGAGCAGATAACGGGCATACAGAGGAAGAATTTTCAAAACGCTCTTCAGCCAACCTGACGCCTGTGTATACAGTGGCACAGTCTGGGCCTGCGGTACAATCATCCTGCCCCCCAGCCCCACTACCACAACCTGTCTGGTTAGCTATGGAGACCAGAACAGATGTCCTTAAGACACGTGCTTCTCTGAGATGTCTCAAGAGCCAAGGAAAAGAAAGACAAACGGTTTTATTTAGAGCTAAAGACACCAGGGACACATTTTGTCAGGATGCAGTCCAAAAATGTCAGTCTGAGAGTCAAATCAACAATCCAGAAAGAGTCATCCTTCCTTTTACATTCCTTTGCAAGCCTACGGAGAACAAGAATGCCATCCTGTGTGGCTGAGGGACATCCAGTTTCCTCACTGGGGAGTGTCTCCATCGCTCACACACCAAGAAATGCTATTAGCAGCGGCAGGCCAGCTGAGGGCCAGTGGACACCTCAGGCCATCTCTGCTCTTAGCTTTCTCCTCCTGTTCTCTGTCTCTCGGGCACTTCTCAGGCCCCATTGTGGCTCCTGCCGGTGACTTGCGGGTTACTGTGTCCAGAGGACCACCGTGTCCTGGGAAGGGACAGGTGTCTGAGAGGACAAGAGGGCTACCAGGCAGGATGGAGCTCTTCTGGCTCTTGCCAGCCCAGGACAGCAGCAGGCCATATCAGCGCAGGTGCTTCTGGTAGGAACCCTGGCTTTCACAGCTCTCTTCAGGATTCCTGGCCTGTGGCTAGGTCCCGATACGGGAGAAAACCCACCTCTGAAGCTAGGAGCTTGGTCCTAGTCCAAAGCCACTCACAGCAACCCTGCTGCTTTGAGTTTCGGAGCCAGAGGTAAGGCTAGACTCTCAAGTGGGGCCACCTCCAGTGAAGTCAACCTACCACAGTGGGACATCCGGATGCTTAGCTCGGAGACAAAGCACAAGTCTGATTTGGCGGAGAGACTTGGATGCAGCAAGCACACCAAAAGCCTACAGCCTGCCTCTGTTGTCAGTCATGTGACCCGGTGAAAACCCACAGGAAGTCAGTGAGCAGATGTAGGGTACAACTGTAATAATTTTATTACCACAGAAGTTCAGTGGAGAGTTCCAGCTTCCACCTAAAGTCTACACAGATAGCATCAGATATCCAGCCAGTACCTGGCATGGCTCCAGGAAGTTAATGCAATTTACAATCAAACAGCTACCCAGCACACTCCAGAAAGTTTTCTGCACACAGTAAGTAGGGGAGACAAGTAGAGGGTGGCCCCTGGGCCTGAGGCAGCCAAAACTTGGCCGGCGGCTGGGGTGGGCTGGGGCTGACCAGCAGGTCACTGTCCACAGTGCTGGTTTGTGGTGGGCAGCCAGCTCAGACAGTGGAAAAGTGGTTTCATGAGCCTGTCACAGGGCAGCAAAGAAAACTGTGCTCCTTGTGAAGTCCATGGTTGCATTACAGATGTGAGGATCATACAGCCTCCGGCCATCCACCCACCTCAGCCCATCGGGGTGTGACCTCTCCCTCTATCGTCACTGAGCAACAACTACATCCGGGTACTGCATTTGGGGCTGCAGAGGGAAGAGAGGGCTGATGTTCTGTGCAGACCTGTGTGGACTACAGCAGGAGTCATGGGTGCCGGCAGAGCGTGGGTGAGCTGCAAAGAGGAGGCACCCGAAGACTCCGGCTGGTCCTGCCCAACACTGGGAGCAGAGAGTTAGGCTGGGCACGACATGGGAGGAACAGGGAGCCGACAAACCTGGAAGAACCGACCCATCAATTCACCCGACTATTGGCTGAGCAGAACGGAGGGACAGAGTGAGTCGCTAATGTGTCAGGATGCAGCCACCTGCAGAAGGAGGCCAAGCCCCGAGCAGCGGCGCGGAGGGCGGAGTGCGTCTACTTCTCATGAATTTGTGATTACTATCTTTGCTTCAAAAAGTCCTTATACATTATTTACTCATCTTATGTGTAGAGATGTTTTGCATGCACTTATGTATGTGCACCGGGTATGTGCCTGGTGCTTGCAGAGACCCAAAGAGGGTATCAAGTCCCCTAGACTGAAGTTAAGAATGGTGGTGAGCTGTCCGGGGGGGTGGTGACGGCTCACGCCTTTAATCTCAGCACTCAGGAGGCAGAGCCAGGCGGATCTCTGTGAGTTCGAGGCCAGCCTGGTCTACAGAGTGAGTTCCAGGACAGGCACCAAAACTACAAGAGAAACCCTGTCTCAAAAAACAAACAAACAAAAAAACCAAAACAAAACAAAAAGAAAGAAAAGAATGGTGGTGAGTCACCGTGTGGGTGGGGAATCAAACTTGGGTCCTCTGGAAGAGTAACCAGTGCTCTTAACCACTGAGCCATCTCTCCAGCCTCTATCTTCTCACTCTGCTGTCCAGTGTGGCCTCAAACACCTGTAATCCTAGCACTTGGGTAAGTGAGGCATGAGGATCCCAAGTGAGTGAGTTCTAGGATAGCCTGGACTATATAAAGAGACACTGTCTAGTAAACACTGCCGTCTTTGTTACTTCTCCATTGCTGGGGCGAACACCACGACCAGGGCAACTTGTGAAAGAAAGTGTTTACTTGGACTTGGGGTTCCAGAGGTTGGAGTCCCTGATGGCGGAGCAAAGACATGGCAGCAGAGCAGCTGAGAGCTCACATCTCAACTGGAAAGCTGGAGGCAGAGAGCATGCTGGGATGGGCATGAGTCTTCTGAGATATCAAAGATATCAAATTCTGAGATATCACCCCCAGGGCCACACCTCCTCTAACAAGGCCACACCTCCTAATCCTTCCCAAGCAGTTCCACCCTCTGGGGACCGAGTATTCAAGCATTAGAGCCAATGGGAGCCTTCTCATTCCAACCACCACTTAGACAAGTAGAAAGAAAACAGAGCCATAAATATGGAGCCCACGGTCAGGGGCTCAGAAGGTCACAGTATGCGGCATGTCCAGGATCTAGTCATTGGCTATGCAGGGGGCCATCTGGGGCTCTCCAGCTGGCAGGCACAATCCTCAGAGGTTCAGGCCACTTGGAGCTCAGAAATGGCTCCATCACTTCCGTGTCTACCGTGAGTCTAACGGCTTTTTATCACAGAGTCTAAGATTCTTGGGGAGAACGAAGGATATAAAGTTGACGTCCCCCACACTGACCAGCAAATCACTGTATTTTTGTTGTTGTTGTTGTTGTTGTTGTTGATATTACTTTCATTTTTAGAAAAGCGTTTATTATACTAGTTTTTAATATTACATAAAAGAATGTGGGTTTACGATGTTTTCATACATGTACACAGCAGACTGTGCTTTGCTCAGACCTCTTTCAGCTAGGCTCAGTTCTGTATCCCTGCTGGGACCTTCTCTCAAGGCGGAGGCCCCAGGAAAGGAGAGTGGCTCTCCGTGTCTTCAGTTGTGCATGTCTCATTGCTGGGTGCTCCTGGCCGCCTGGAGCTCTGACTGCATGGGCAGGGGTGGGACCGGCTGGTGTGGGGTGGCCAGCAGCAGGTCAGGGAGACAGCACAGAATTGTCTGGAAAACTTTTGCTACAAGCTGGCCCAGAGAGGACTCAAGGGGTAACAGGAACTGTGCCCTCCTTCACTTCTGAGGGGGGCTTATCACAGAAAGGAGCTGGGTGCTTGGGTGGAAAGAGAGTGGGCTAAGTGTAGGCCGTACGTGTGATCTGACTAGAACACCAGATTTCCCCAGGCCATCAGATGTGCCCCCTAGTACACAAGAGCATGGCTAGACGCGTAAGAGGTCGGAGAGTTATCTATAAAATAGTACGATAAAATCAAACCGTTTGGGGCTGGAGAGACAGCTCAGTGGTTAGGAGCACCGAGTACTCTTGAAGAGAACCCAGGTTTGGTTCCCGCCATCCACGTGGCTGCTCACAAGCATCTGCAACTCCAGTTTTAAGGGATCTGATGCCCTCTTCTGGCCTCCACAGGGACAAGGCATGCAAGTGGTACCCAGACAGACATGCAGGCAGAATACCCACACGCACACAATGAAGTCATTTACAAAGATTGATGAAGAAATTCTGGAAAGGGTCCCACACACTGGGTGAGTTTAGCGGAGCAGTGTCCTAGAGTTACCTGGGACAAATGAGCTTTATGAAGTCCATGGCACCAAGGAGAAACGAGCCGTGCTGTTTGGAACTCGGACTTCCATCTGCTAGTATGTCACCACCATTGTGACTTTGTCACCTGGACGAGCCCGCCCTCAGACACGGGCCATGGTGTGGGTGTTGCATTTCACACAGTGGTAAAGGAAGAGAACCCCCTTACGAACATACTGGTCATGCGGGTGAGGAGCCAGAGTGAAGCATGGTGTATAAGATGAAAACCCGCATCTCTGGGCTGCAGTGTGGGTGAAGAAGGCAATGCGCGGTCTGGAGTGTAAGCTTCAACGGCTCATCTACAATCTCTGTCTTCACGCTAGTTTTTCCAGACTAATTTGTGGACGAGCGGAGATGAGTGGAGAATTAGAAGCAGGTTCTCTATCATGTTTAGATAAATTCATGAGAAATAAGGATCTTTGCTGTATTTGAGATGTGTACAGGGAGCTTCGCATGAGATGACTTGCAGAGGATGACGGGACAAGGACAGACAGAAGACTCGGCAGTGACCTCCAGCCTGGGCCATGTTATCAGTGGGATCAGCCAGGCTCTGCCATGTATATCGCAGAGGTATTTGCAAAGGGAATTCCAGCAAAGACAGTCTGAGACAAGATGCTGTCTATACCTTCTCAGGAGTTAGCTTTTCTGAACAGTTTTGGATTTAAGTTCAAGCAAATTTGATGGTCCCTAAGATTGCACAGGAGCCTTCTCACTGTTAGTAAATCTGTCCTGGTTATTTCTCAGCAAGAAGGGGGAGCCAGGTGTGGCCAGTACTCCTTGGTGCCCATCTCAGCCAAGGGCTCTCCTCTCCTCACAGGAGGAGCCACCTGCTCCAGGCAGTGTGTGGGAAGCTCTGTGGCTGCTAAGCTGCCTTCTTCAACACACAGGAAGGGGATCACACTGAAACCCCGTGTATTTGTGTGTGTGTGTGTGTGTGTGTGTGTGTGTGTGTGTGTGTGTGTGTACGCATGTGTGTAGTGGATGGAACCTAGAGCCCAGTGAAGGGCAAGCAAGCTCTGTGAAGGACCCACAGACCTAAATTCACAATATTTTGGGTGGGGGTGGGTGGGGAGACTTTCTGACATAGGTCTCACTCTGTAGCCTGGATTGGTCTGGAATTCAGTGTGTAGCTCAGGGTAGCCTTGAAGTTGTGGCTACTCTCCTGTCTTGGCCTCCTAGTACCGGGGCTACATGTATGAGCCACCACACATAGTTCCAAAGCCACAGTTCTGACATTTCATGGCTCAAATGAGGAAGGAACGCTCCCTTTGTGCATCCCATGGATGGGTTTCCCAGTGACCCAAGTGAGATCCATGTAGGCTGAACTCGACCTGTGACTTCCCTGCCTGGTGACAGACACGTGGTTACCCAATGTAAGTCATCTCTGAATTCAAAGCACATCACATGATTTGTTAATATTTTCAAAGCCACGAGGACTAACCAAGCTCGAGCGTCAGTGTTCTGCATCACTGACTGGGCTGGCCCTGTGACGCAGACAGCAAGGCTGTGTGGATACACAATTCCCGAGGGTTTTCCTAGACACCCTGGCAGGTCACGTCCATCTCTCCAGCTGTCACCTCTGCTCCTGCCTTCCTGAAACAAAGCAGTCGCCCAAAGATTCAGAGAACACCAAAGGCGTTTGAAGTCCTTTACCCCAGTGCCGTCCCAGAACAACCAAAGAGGCCGTGGGCGCTGTCACTACTGCCGACTCTGCTTTCCAAACAACATTAGAGACAGGATAATAAGCCATCACAGATCAAATATGATCCAGACATCAGATGGATGCCACCAAGGAAAGTACCCGCAGAAACCAAGTGACAGCCGGAGTAGCATGATCTGTAAGTGGAAACGGAGACTCCACCTTCCATCTATGAAGCCCTTCCCCGTTCTTTCCCATTCATAATTTCTGGTTTATCCTTTCCTTGGCCAAAAGGCTGAGACAGGTGTGTCCAGCTGTTTGGCAGGCTGTTGTCATCTACAAAGTTTAAGCTGGAGAACTACACACTGAACTAAAAATGGGAAAGCTTACAGATTCTCTAGTTCAGGATTTTATGTTGGGCTGCACTCTCAGCTCTCCTGGGTAGCAGGGACTTTAGACATCAGGACTCTGGGCTGACAGTGTAGAAACTGGCTATCATATCCCAAACCGGGGATCTGGACTGGCCTCGGAGCACGTTAGAGACTTAACTGACGGTACGGGTCTACACAATCTCCAATTGTTCCTGAAGGGTACTGAGTATATCACAGCTCACATTTTTATGAAGGAGAACAAGACAGAAGGCAGCTTCCTGGAAAAGAATGCTTTAGGTGGCAAAGCAGTGACACTCGGCTAGGACACCGTGTCAGAGAGGAGGCAGCACACGCCGCTGTGAGGAGGGCCGGCATCTGCTTCCCACCGAGCCACAGGGTCACAGGTGAGCATGCACAATCCATGGGCGGAGGCGCGGAGTGGTAGCCAGGCAAGGAGCTGGAGACCTTGGTGTTTGAACTGTCTCTCTCTCCATGGTGGCTCTGGATGATGAGGATATGGAGTTGAGGTGTGTAATCCCAAATACGCACTCAGGGCCAGGGGCTTGCAAGCAACTGTGACATGCCATTAACAGTCTGAAAGCTGCAGCCCTGCCGGGCCTAACCCTGACACCTGCCCTGTTTTGTTTCCTAGCTGAGATAGATTCGAGGGGGCAAAAGACAGGTGGCCGGCACTGGATGCTCTCTGTGGCAATTGTCGCATTTACCAGTTATTTGGGATTGAAATAAATACACTGATGAGGAAGCACAAACGTTTATGACCAGCACCACTGTCATCTTGGCTGTAAATGGCAGAGAAATTCAGGCCATGTGAGTTTTCTAGGAGGCTCTGACAGCAGCCAAGTCAGACGCACAGCATCACCTCCTCGCCAGAGTTACCTCATCTGCAAACTATTGCAGCTGAGAGAGAACAAGGCTGCAGACTGGCCAGGGTACTGAAGTGGTTCCTGCAGGCAGGCTCTGCTGGCTGGACTCAGACCTTACTCTGCCTTGCTACACAAGAGCCCATGCTCCGCCTGCAAGGACAGAGGCCTGAAGAGTGGAGAGCCCTCCCCTCTGCTCTGGGCTCGGCCGTTGTTTACCTTAGGCAAGCACATGAGGGCCAGCATCAGTTCCAGAGCGCAAGGAGCCGTGGTGTACAGCACAGGCTTCCGTCGCTCTGAATCCACATCTGTCAGCAGAGACGGAGCATTGCTTATCTCCTTAGCTATGTTCAGGGAACAACCATGGAGAATTCAATTGCTTATACACTGTGAGCATGAAAATTAAACAAAATTGGAATTTACCTTGAGAATAATCACAAAGCATCTCAAAGGATCTCTCAAAAAGGAAACTCTGAATTTCAACAATTAACTTACTGTATTTTAAAAGCAGATCCAGGAAGCAAACTATAAAAGATCCCTTTATTTGGATTTATTTATAGCAAGGAATACAGAATATACTTTGTATTAAAAAAAAATCAAGATTCTGTTCTGTCTAAATTCAAAACAAAACAAAACACAAACAAGCAAACAAAAAGAAAAAAAGACAACCAAACAAACCCACTCCCCACAACCAAAAACCAAAAATCAAAAACCAAGGTGAAAACTGTAAGAGTCTCTGGAGGACAAACAATGGCCGCTCAGCATGGAGGCCTTGAAAACACTGCTTTAAAGACTCAGTTTAAAGAAGGGCGAGGGCTGGGCTTATCTGGGAGCAGCTGACCCGTGGACACATCTACAAGTCCTTCTACCAAGCATGGAAGACAGTGATGAAGAAACTTGCTGTGAATAAAGCCAGGAAACCTTTCTTGTAAGGCCAGGGACTGAACGTCTGTGTCCGATTCCTGTTCACATGTGAGTCACAAGGTGGTGGCATTTGCAAGTGGGGCCATTGGGGGTTGATCAGGCCATGAGGGACCATGAGTGGGATTAGTGACCTCGTCGGAGATCCTGGAGAGCTAGCTTCTTCCTCCCACAGTCAGGAGGGTGAGAACTAGACACTGAATCTTCCAGCGCCTTGTCTTGGAGTTCCAGCTCTTAGAGCTGGGAGAAATCGAGTTCTGTTGTTTATAAGCAGTTTCCAGTATTTTGTTTAGTGGCCTGAATAAGACAAAAGGTGACCTATTGAGCCTTCTTTTGTCAATTATAACTATTATATAACTAATATATGACTATATACAAATATATATATTTCTTTGCCATCTGGCTGATGGGTGGGTCTTCATGATTTTACACTGGGATCCTAATCAAATGGCCAATCCTCGGTCGTTTTGCTGGCTCTTCTGGTGGTCAGACTCAGTGGCAGTGGGAGGTGAGGATACAGATACACTACACTTTGCTGCTCTGTGGGGGAGGGGCCTGTACATTGAAGGCTGACTCAGAAAGACGGTAGGCCCAACACTGCCTGGGACAAATGCCTGCAAACACAGAAGCAGAGGGACAGTGCAGTGAACTCCGTGTGCCCACTGCCAGCTCCAGCCATTAACCCATGACCGGTCTAGTTTCGTCTAGCTCAACTTCTGGGCGTCATAAATTTCATCGGAGTATTACCAAACTGGTGAGAATGAATTAAATTACAGGGTGACCCTTTGGATTATAAAAGCATTTATTAAAACTATGAAACAGCCAGGTAGGTGGTGGTGGCGGCGGCGGCGGCGGCGGCGGCGGCGGCGGCGG